GGGTATGCCATAACTCTCGCACCCTGCTGAACCGAGCTTGACCCTGCCAATAATTTCATGATTTGTTTTTGTTTTCTCACCCTTTTTTTTGTGGGCGCTGACTTGCAGGTCAGACATTATTACTACCGGCTTGTGAGACGAATGAACAAACTTCTTGGTCCAGGATTATGTTTGGATGCCAAAAACTCCAAAGATACTAATGCTGCAATGCTTCGCTGGTAACAATTTATTCGGTGGTTATTTGTTAAATGGTTCATGTTTGTGCGTGCGTATGCGTGTGTAAGATGTAGTTTAACTTTTTATCCACCAAGTTAAAAAGTTATTCTTGTTCTTGTTAAATAAATCAAGGGCTTATGAAGGAGAGCATCGGTGCATAACTGAAATTTAATTGATTTTGTGGCATACATGTAAGGAAAATAATGGAAGAACTGGTTGATATTGGGAGAACATGTTCTTGGATAGAAATATGACACTTCAGATATCTAGCCTAGACCATAAGGGGGTGTTTGGATTGGAAAGGGGATTCTTTAAGTTTCTCACGAATCCTAGGTTGGGAATGTTAAATTCCTATGTTTGGTATGAATTTTAAAAATTATTCCCTGGAATCTAACTTTCCCAGGAATCATTTTTTAATTAAGTTTCCCACAAACTTTCCCATTGGAGGGGGTGGAAATTCAAGATTCCCATGAAAGGGAGAAGTTTTATTTATTTATTTATTTATAATTATGTCTTCATTCCGAATAATATTTTTAGACATACTAAACATTTTTGTGACATTCAGCAAACATGTTACCCTGGAAATATAATTCCCAGGAAACATGATTTCTAGAGATGAAAAAAGATTCTGTCTGCCAAATGCCCCATAAGTGTAAACATCTTTTTGTTGTAAGACAATATTAAGGGGTGAAATGCTCGACTAATTTGCTTTAAAGTACATAACATCCCCTGTTTAAAGACCCTTTTTTAATCTGAGAATAGACTGGACCATTTAGTGACTCAGTTAATGACATTTAATTTTGAGACTGAAATTGTCAGGATCCCTTATCAAGTCATTTTCCCTAGTTTATTCATGACTTTTAAGTGTCTCCTGTAATTTCAGAAACTCTTAATTGATGAGAAACTATTACATTTCTACATACATTTCATTTGCTTGGGTTCATGTCTTTTCAAATGACTGGAAAGTATATTAGGACTTTAACCAGTTTGTCCGCATCGGAGTCCCTATTATGTTGTGGAAATGTTTTAAAAGGTATATGCCTTGAAAGATAACTGATTGTGTTTCTGATTTGAGTTTATTTTGATACATTATTAGTGAAAATAGTTTTACACCATTATTCAATGAAGTATTGCCACATAATTTATGCTGTCAACAACTACATGAGATGTTAAACTTATTAATTGTTGTGGCAATCAATAGAAATTTGGAATTGACAGTAGAAATATAGGAGACTATGCTCTATGCCGGAGGAGGTATCCATCCGCTGAAAAGACTAAAATAGTAGAAAAATGAAGAAAAACAGAAATAACAAGGGGAATTAGAATCTCCTGCCATCATGTGGGCAGCAGGCTACAGTTCAAATCCCCTTGTTGACTCATAATTCCCTCACTTTTTGAGTTAGTGACTAGTGTGAGCCAATTACTCTCCTACTATGCACCCTAATAATGAATGAGTTTCTATCAGCATCAAGCAAGACATCATTGGATTATTGTGCAAAACATTTTTACATTGTCAGTGCATTTTATGGTTTGATCATCTTACAGTAATTTCCTGAATAAGAATAGGGGTATAGTGCTGTTGTTATGGGAGTTTTTTGCATTGAATGTGTAACACTTTTTCCTTTGACACAGGTGGTCGTTATTAGAAAAGTATAGCTGCAAAGCCTCAAAGCTTCATCTGAAGCCACGCAGATTTAAAATTTTTTTAGAAGCCTTGGTTAGTAAAGGCTGTTTACATTGTCTGGGAATTTTATGTTATTTATTTATTATTTTATATCTTCTGTATGTGCTGGAGCTGATGTATATATTTTGTTGAAAAGGAGCACCAACTTTTGAAGGACCGGAAAAAGAATGTAAGGAAGCGATCCTTACAGGGGGGGAATTGTCTTTCTCCTGTTCCTACTCCAGTCTCAAATCAAAGTAGAGCATCAGGAAATGATGCTCGTGCAGTTAAACTGGTTCTTGTTGACAGTCAAAATATTTTAAAATTGGGGCCTTCTAAACCATCAATGAAGCGCAGTATAAACATGGGTGTTAACCGTAGTAACACTAAGGGAGATTCAAATGCCATGAAACCAACAAGGCAACGAAAGAAATCTGGTGATTCTTTTCAATTCCATTCAAGATCTCTTTTACTAGTTTTCTGCTTGGAACTAGTTTTTCCTTCATAATAGATGGATAAATATTTAAAGTAAATTTTCATAAGTCTCTCTCTCTCTCTCGCTCAGGTGTGATTTCAACAGCTGCATATAAAAAATGGGAAAAGGCTGCAATTGCTGGTGTTTCTTTAGTTGCAGATGCTGCTGAGCATTTGGAGCGAGCTGCAACTGTTAGAGAAATTGAACAAGACCAGGAGAATCCAGGTAGCTATCATGCTTTTAGTTTTATTCTATCCTTGCTTCCATAAGGGCTAATTCCTTTAAATAAGGGTTATCTCTGATCTTCTGTAAATTGACACTGATTTTCCTATGTTAATTTCAGGAGAAAAATGTTCTGACCCTGTTGATTATGTCCTGCCCTCTGTACCCACATGTCCACAAAATCAATTTGTTGATAACTATGTGAATATTAACATGAAACTGAAGCTCCAGTTATTCCCAATTGATGAACCTACTCGAAAAGCATTGGAAATGGTGAGCATAAAAGAAAAATAACATACATCTTATTGTAGAAATGTAAAAGTGATTTTGGAAACTATTTTATATTTATCTTTATTTTTTTCTCTCCTAGGATAAGCATAATCCACACTTGGAGCTTACACTTAGTACTCGAAAGAAGATATCATCAATTTTAGAACATCTAAACCGTAAATGGGGTAATTCAAGTATAGCAGTTGGAGAATTAATGCTTTTTCCTTATGGTACTCAAAGGGAAAACTTGGTTAATTATCAGAGATGGACCCAGGAATCTACTCTTAGTGCAGCAGATATATATGCAATGATTGGAACTCCACCCATATTCCGTTTAAGGTACCTGTTTTATCTTGCCCTCTTGGCTTATTGTTATATTTGAAGTAACTAAACAGTGACATGTAAGATAGTTGATTTAATTGTAATTTTCATTTGACAATTTCTTAGATAAAAGAACATGTGAAAATCCATTCTCTTCACTGATTAATTGGTTAATTTATAATCATGCATTCTGTTGAAATGTTGAATTTATGACGAAAAGTAAATAAGATGCTTTTTAGATTCCGAGTTATATAAACCAGCAAAATGTTTCTGGGATCCTGTGCATACAAGAAATGCTATAAATTGAAAGCCATGTGGGCTGCTTTACCTTCTTTATTGAAGATATTTTTTAGTATTTATCGAGTGTTTCTAGCCCTTAATTGCCTGTTATGTAAAGATGGAATTTGGAGAACATGCCCAACAAAAGAAATCAGCATGAACAGCTTGTGTGTGTAGAATAGGGTGGTCTATTTAATTAAAATACAAGGGATAGGTTAAATAAAAAAAAGAAATATGGGATAGCATGTGAACATATTCCAATTCCTAGCTTTTATTTTATTGGTTTCAATATAGATGAAATTTAGATCACATTTTCATTTGCATTTAAATGAGATACTTGTACAAATGTAAATGTTGACTAATGTCAAAATACCTATAGGAGAAATTTCCCTTTTTCTTCACTTGGAGAAACCCATAACCTATACTCTAGTTTAATTATTAGGGGAAACTTATGCCGAAACATGAACCGACATAGATATGTTAAATATGATCAGCAAAGGAAATAATTTAAATTGATAATCAAGATTTGTTTTTTCACCTTCCAATGATAATGAACCTGACAAAAATAACTAAGGCATATTTTTTAATGTTGTTTATTCTCCTTCCTTTGATAAAGAACCTCAAAAAGAAAAAACAAGGGACATTATTCTTTTTTTTATATTATATTTTAATTTGACTTTTCTAAATGTTTAAAACACCTAATGAGCAATGTCTGACCTGTGTTGTACAAGTGTTTGGGACGTGTTCATGTTGGACAGCGTACCTAACATTCCTGGCATCTCAATCAGGACAACTCTGTGTGCATGTCTTACTATATTTATGTTGTAATGACTAATGATCATATTTGCGTATCTCTGTGAAGGTATGGTTGGTTCTCCAATACTGAGCTTGGGTTATTAAATATGCAAGTGCCTGTGGCATCCAGCTGCATGCTCAGACAGTCCAAAATTAGTGTGGACAATACTGAGGATCAGATTGTGAATTCTGTTTCAGCTCCTATGCTATCAACTAATACTCATTCCATGGAGCTATCTGAAGATTGCAGAACATCCATGAACAAAAACCATACTTTTATCAATGCTTCAACTGATTTGCCTAATACCAGAGACAACAGTGTTTACCTGAATACAAGCATTGAGGAATGTCGTGATCCTACAGCCAATACATTGTGGCATGGAAAAGATGTTACAGATGGAGCTGTTACTTCACAGTTGGAAGAAATGGTAATTGTAATTCTCTCATTTTTTGTTCTTGCTTTTATTTGCACTATAATGTTAATGTAGATTTTCATCTTGTGATAGGATCTTGAAGTGTCACCTTATTGTACTTCATTGGCTCTTGTGATATAAATTTCACTTAAAATGTTTTTAATCTCTCAAATTTGGAATGAATTTGTTTTTGATTCCTCAAGTTTAAAATTGATCTTTTTAGTCCTTGCAATTTCAAAAAATCTAATGTTAGTCTCTTATGACTATCAATTGCATCACTTACAATGTAGATCGAGTCAATTGTTCTGTATCAGTGGAATTTTATATGATGTTTTCATCAAGAAGAGCACTAGTAGGAGAATTTTGTGCAACATATTCAGTGACATAAATTTTTTTTTTTTTTTGGGATAGATTCATTAATGACATTTGAGTTCAAATCCCAAGGATTAAAAATATAAAATTTAAATTTGAGGGACAAAAAAATAAATTATCTTGTATTTAAAGGTCTAAAAATATATTTAAACTTATAAGGTTGTGAACATGGGCTTATCGCTCCTTTTTTAGATTGTTATGTTCCAATTACGCACAGCAAGGTTGAGGGGTTAACATTAACCAGACTGGTGTTGTTTGGTTAGTTAATTTGCGTGTCATTATCAGCATCTATAACTTTATGTTCTTTGTATGTGTATTCAGGATGAGTTGAAATTAAGCAGTGGAACAGGACTGTCAGCTGGAGAGTGGGCTGACAGCCTTACCAACATTAGTGTGGGGGATCTACTTTCAGGAGCGTCCCAGGATCTCGAAGATAACTGCATCAATCCTCCTAGTGCTGAGAATTGTCACGATGTTCAGCAAATTCCTTTTAGTAGTGATTCTTTCGATGCCGCAATTGCTGCTCACATATCTAGACACCAAGACAAGATGGGACAACCATCAATGGCATCCCATATGTCTTCCATTTGGGATGCTGAAGAAACTTGTGATGCCTTTTTATTTAAAAAGGATCCTATTCTTCACAAAGATGGTCCTTGTTTATCTTCAGTTGCTTCTTTAGTGTCCGAGAAAAAGGTTCCTGAAAGTAGCTTTGAAAAATTGGATGAGGTAGTATATCTTAATTGTTGTTACTACCTTGCTTGCAAAGTGAAATATGGTTTAATTTTCATAATATTTATTGCAGTTGTCACCTGATGAAGAGAGGCTTGTGGATGATTTTGTTCAAACAGACCCTATGCCTATCGACAGTTGTGAGTCTGATTCAGATATCCAGGACCATTTAGGAAAGGGTATTAGTGCGCTAGCAGACATGTATTGGGTATTTTTCTTTCTATAATCTAGTTTTCTCTCTGTCGAAGTCCATTACTTCTTCATTAGTGTTTAGGTTCAAAACAATTTGGAGAAAGCTTATCTCGGGGAGTCGTTACAAACATGTTTTTAATCCTTAGGACATTCTGTCACTCTAAACTATGAAGTTGAAAAAAATTTGAAGTGTTACATTCATTGGAAATATTGAACTACTGCTTTTTCTTTTGAAAGTATTTTATTAGTATTGTGTTATTGATAGAAGTGCATCTGACTTTATTTCCCACTTTGTCTTTTGATTCTATCATATTGCAGCCTGATTCCTTGGGACCGTTGGATTTGGATATACCATCAACTAAGTATCACAGCGAAGATCTAATTTTTAGTGATAGTCTTAGTGGACTGAATCGCTTGATAGCCAGCAGCCTGGATGCATTCCAGAATTGCTCCTTTTTTGGATTTGACAAGAAGGAAGCACCATCAACAGTTGAGGCTCGAGAATCTGCAGCTCTTTCAGATTTTAAAATTGGAAGTGGCATCTGAGACTCATCATCGGATCTTGGTAATGTTTTCCATTTCTGGCATGAACTCAGTTGAAGTTTGTTAAAAATAGCATTTTTCCCTAAACTGACTAGAGGTGTGCATGCTGAAGAATTGGTTGGAGCCACTTCAACTGTTCCTGTATATGTTTCTCTAATCTGTCTCGTTCCTTTTTGTACAAAAGAAAAAAGAAAATTGATCATGTAAGGAGTTCACTTATCAGTCTCCTGTATAAACACTCCTTTTTTAGGTAAACATATCTTTTTTTTATTCTCTGCTTCTGGACGTTGTATGTTAAGAAGACTGTCTTAAAATTGCAACTCCGTGGCATCGACTTGTTTTTAAGCCAATGGACTTTTTATTTTATTTTATTTTATTTTTAATCCAAGCTCATTAAACTCGGTTATTTAATTGTCGGATTTATCTCATTGTTTCTTTTAGAGTGATAACTTGGGCCAGATACATAATCTCAATGCATTCATCTGATTTAAGTGATATAATAGCAATCAATTCTTTGGAACAAAATGTGTTTCATTCAGATTTTGTCCAAGTTTTTACAAGATGAGGGAATGAATGACCTTATGTGATGCTGCATGTTCGGTTCATATAAAATTCCGGATATTTGATAGCAAAAGTAGTTTATATACACTAATTTCCGTCTTCCCCCACACCCACAACTTGTTTTTATATACGATTGAGGGCAAATATAATGAACACAATTTAGATGAAGTTTCATATGAATTTTTGCTACTATTTTCTAATTAGACTGAAATTTTATTTGATTAATTTGTATAATAGAAGCAGAGTATAAAGTAAGTTACATTTTGTCTAAAACAAAATACTCTTACAGATTATAGTCCAAAATCGTGTTTGTGATTAATTAAAACTTCAAAACTAGATGGTCTTAATTCATAATTTGAACTAACACTTAGCTTCAATCAAGTGTGATATATTAAGGACAAGTATGTTTGCTTATCCGAAGAGACTCAAGCCAATGGATTTCTTATACCCGAGTTCGTGTTTAAGAGTTTTGGGACCTAAGGCAAAAAATTTAAAGTACCTAATTTAATATTAATAATTAATTTTTATACCAATCTTCTAGCTTTTGGGCCTACATAATCATTTGAGTGTTTTATAATAATTTTAATATTTCACGTTCAATAGATAAGATAGTCAATTCATTCAATATTGTAACATTGCTGATTTTATATATGATTTAAGCGATTTCAATTTTGAAAAGCTTGTTTCAGTGATAGCAATTGAAAGAGGTATTGTTAAAAAAAAATATACCTAATCCTTTTATGTAGTTTAATATTTCTATGGGATTATTAATTTTTTTTAACACTTTTCTCAATACTTTTAATTCTAAAAATAAATCAAGACTATTAATATTGGAATGTTAATTCAATCTTAAAAAAATCAAGATAAATATACTTTTAATTCTAAAAATAAATCAAGACTATTAATATCGGAATGTTAATTCAATCTTAAAAAAATCAAGATAAATACAATTGTTTTTCATTTCATTTTCACCTAAAGTTTTAAATTTTTTTTGAATTCAAAAATATTTTCATACTGTAAAAAATAATTGAGTTGAGTTTCAATAGAAGAAACAAAGTTATCTACAATATATATATAAATAAATAAATAAATTCAACACAGAAATTTCAGTTGAATGTCTAATTTGATCACTTTTATTTTCATCAAAATATAATTTTCTATGAGTTAAACATTTTTCACGAAACAAACCCCAAACGTGTGGTTCAGCGGTAGGGGTTGATCCATGCTTAAGTAAGGTTAGGAGTTCGGATCTTGCCTTGTCTATGCAGCCGCGTTAAATCTTGGGGCCAGCTATCCCACCTTTTGAGGTGCCTCCAACGTAGCGAGGAGATTAGTCACTGCTATTGGCCCTGGATACTCCAAGGACGAAAAAAAAATATTTTTCACAAAACTAAACTTTATTTTTATTTTAATAACTAATTTATTTTTTATGTGAAATTCAAAGCCAATGAAAACCATTTTCCACACAGACGTGTAAGCAATAAGATTTCTTAAATTATCTATAGCAACATGTATATACATATATTTAAATTGTATAATTATACAAATATTCATTTTTAACAAAAATTCAAAATTTCCCATCTTATATAAGTTATTAGGCACATGACTTCACTTTTCAATTTAGGATCTTAACAACATTTTGATAATTGAAGCAAATTATCTCTTTAGTGCTTGAAATTTTATTCTTCTAACACTTCCTATTCTACTTTCTCATCAAGTTTGAGATAATAGTTTAATAAAAAAATTTATATATTATCCTCTAAAACTTTCTGTTGTTTGGTGGATGAAGCAAATAAAGAATAAATGTGTTTCATAACTAAAAAAAAGAACTCTTAGAGATAAATTAATCATATCATATAAACCTAAATTTAATTTATGGCATTCACTTGATGTAAAAAGTGCTCTTGAATTTATATCCAATATTTTTTTCACTCCTTGATCTTTACCCTGTAAGATTTATTATTATCATGACCTTGTCCCTTTGTATCATCTATATTAAACTCATTTTTTTCTCCAAAACATTAATAAACTCATTGAAAAAGACATGTTCTAGATGTATCATAAACTTTTAAAAATTCTAAAAAAAATACTCTTCTTTTTTATTGGAGAATTCAAAGTATATAAACATATCAAAACAAGAACCATTTGTTCTTGATGACTTATATCAAAAGTACAATCAAGAACAATAGAAAAATATTTTGCATATTTAACTTTATTATTGCTTTTTATTTTATAAGGCTAACAATTCTATAATTTCGTTTTATATAGTATTGCTCCTGTAATGAACATGAATTTCACCATTCTTCATGCGTCTAACATGGTTTGTTGGCCATATCACTTCTTTCATTATGCAACAACTTTTGTTTGGCTACCAACGTTGAACCTTCTATGTTTTAAGGCTTAAGCATAACATTCCTTCTACTTTTTTCTACTTGAATCATAGAGATAACTTCTTCTAAGGAAGGTGGGTCCTTATTAAGAATCTGAATCCTAACTTGGTCAAATTCAAGATTCAATCCAACCAAAAAATCATATACGCGATCTTTTGCAATGAAATTTTTCAGAAGGACATCATCTTTCGTTCATTTCATGTCATATACACGATAATGATCCAACTCTTGCCACAAATTCTGCAGGATGTTGGCATAATCTGTTACTAACTTGTTCCTTTGCTTAGTTGTTGTAGTTTTCACTTTTATCTCATACACTTAGGCAACATCATTTGGCTTTGAATATGTATGACTGATAAAGTCCCAAATGTCCTTGGTTGATTTCAAGAACATGCAAGTGTCACTGATTGCGAGTTCCATGGAGTCACATAACTAGGACATTATCATAGAGCCCTCTTCATCTTAGGAGTCAAATTTTGGATCATTCTTGTTTGGACCAGAAGCTAAAAGATGAGAAAGATGTCCTCTGCCCTTGAGATAGGTCCTAGAAAATTGAGACTATTTGAGGTAGTTCTTTTCATTAAGATGATAAAAAGCTCAAATACTTTGTAATTCTCCAGTTTTTTGAACTAAGTTGGATTCATTATTGTGGCTACAAGTCACCGTAGTTTCTATTTCTACTTTAGGCATGGTGATGGGTGGAATACCTTGAAATCAATTGGATAACAGAGAAGGTTGTGCAGATATAAACTATACAGCAATTAAGGTTGTCTTAGTGCAAGAACATAGGTGCAACAATTAACATTGTCCTAGCGTGCGAAAAAGTGGTGATTGCAGCAATAAAGGCTGCATAAGTGAGAGCTGAAATCAAAGGCCCAAGTGATAAACCTAGGACTATGATACCATGTGAAAAAAGATAGAATCATAAATTATTTCTTTTATTCCTTCAATTAGATAGTACTTCATATAAAATAATCCTAATAAAAGGAAACAAAATCAATCCAAATAAAAAAGGAATAAGAAATTGTTATAAGTGATTTATAATCAAAGATAAAGATAGATTAGCTATTAAAAGATAAGATAGATTAGCTACTAGAAGATAAGAATAAATTATTCATTAGAAGATAAAGATAGATTCAGTTAAGAAATAAGGATTATAAATAAGATCCTAGTGTAATCAGCAAATTATCAATAATACAATTATATTCTTATATTTCCTCTTCTATTCTCGTGTGAGATTGAGAGAGTGAGTGGTGTTAGAGGAGAACTCCAATTCTCATCTAACAACTGGTATCAGTATTGCTGGCAACGATGGGCGGCTCAACGACGAACAAAGATCTGGAAAACAGAATTGAAGGACTTGAGAAACTGATGGCCTCCTCACAGGAGGAAAATTCGAGGAACCACCGCGACAACAAGAAAGCATTCGAGGAATCGCAGAAGAGTCACAAAGCGGATATCGACTCGATGAAGACGATGATGGCGCAGATCTTGGCCAAATTAAACATCAGCGGCGAACCATTTAACCCCATCGAAGAAGAAGCAGAGTCAGATCTTGACTCGAGCAAAATTATTGAACGAACCCAGATTGCGTTTCCTTCATTCGATGGCACCAACTTCAGGGAATGGAGAGCGAAAGCAGAACAGTTCTTTGAATTAGAACGCACACCCATTAATCAGCGAGGCAAATTACTTTTACTATCCATGGATGGCAAAGCATTTGCGTGGCAAAGACATTACATGCAAAACCAAGAATTCCAAAACAAATCCTGGAAAACTATTCTTCAAGATGTTGGCAACCGTTTTGATGATGGCGCTTACGATGACCCAATTGCTGAATTATCTCGTTTGAGGAGAACTCCAATTCTCATCTAACAGAAATGGACCTATTTATTTATTTATTTTAAATAAATCTCCTTATTTAAGGGATTTGTGTTGACATTCTTAATAATTTATATATAGAAGAATAATTTCATTTTTATAACTTGACAGTACATAATCAAAATCAAATCCTAATTGATTTGAGCTATTTTTCAATACAAACGTTAAAAAAGCGAGTGTCTGTGCAATTTCATTAAACTTCAACCAGTGTCGGTGTAATTTACTCTTAATATAATTTTGTCACCTCAAGTGGCTATTTTCTTCTTAAAGGAATTTAAGCTCTTGGTCAAAAGAAAATATGGGGAAAAGAGAACTCAAGCTCACAATATATACAATCCACATTTGATGGTTCACATTTCAGACCAAATGGACGAGGTGTTATGAGAAGGAGCATTGACAGCACAACAGGATTAATTTTTTTTTATTCAATTTGTTTAAGCCTACCCTTTAATTATTCTCCTTAATATGGAGAAACATGCCTGCTATTTCCTAAACTGAAACAAAAATAATCACAATTGTAGTGGGAAGCTACAAGGACATTTTTCAAAACGGGGTATAAAGTTATGAGAGGTAGCTCCTTCAAAGAAGTTAGTAATGTTCATGATCATGCAGAACTGGTAATTCAGCTCCATATTGTCATTACGAGAGAAACTTGGATGAGGTGAGCAAATGATTCATCCTTTTCTTTTTTTATTAAAATGTCATTTTCGCCCATTATTTTTCCCCAGACTTTGAAGTAGCCCATTTAAAGTAACCGCAGTTTGCTTCAGGATTAGATGCAGGGCCCTGTAAGTGGAAAAACACATATGTATTAACCGCCTAGTGCATGCATAGGTTAGAGATGCACAAATTATGAAATGACAAACAGGAAAAAGACAAGAAGCATGTTTGGAGCTCTATCGAAAAATACCCTTTATTTCCAGTAGAGAAGTTCTGAAGGTGTCAAACAGAAATTGTGGTTATAATACAACTCGTGCAGACACAGCTCATTAAAACCCAATCCTTCCCTTAAAACAAGTTCTTGCAAGACTAAAACCTTATTTTGGTCCTAAAAGATAGACTATAAATTTTGTACCTATAACTACATTGTTGTGTAGATACAAACTCTAACGAGTTTTTGAGTCAAATTTACTCATCCCCCAAATTTATCTAAACTCCTAAGTTTGACAACCTTGCAAATAACTAGAAGATCAATATTGCTCTAATTTTAAAAAGTGGCTACATTCCTTCAATGAGCAGACGAACCGAGTCCTCACATTATTGTAGTCTAGAGCAGAAGAATAATTTTCAGAGTTAGAAGCACAATGCCCAAAATCACTCAATGGAAATGAATTACCTCAGCCCGAGCACAGACATAGAATCTGCGGCCAAAATTAGATCCTTGTTTTTTCACCACCCGAGCAATACAAGGCTCCTTATGGCCTTTGCAAATAGGTATACTGTTCTGCATCAACTGTTGTATTCTTTGCCACTCTAGTGCAGCCATGTTACTCTTTTCTTCCTTTGTGGAACTACCATTTGGTCCAGCTAAATTCTGATCACATGCATCAGTATCCAACTCATATTGCCTAGGACTGGCACTATGATCAAATACTGTAGGAGTTTCGTGTAAATGAGGGCTGGGTTGAGAGGGTTCTGTCTGATTGTTTGAGCAATCAGTACATAGGTCATTGACACCATTGTCGAGATTTGTCCTTTTCTGGAAAAATGACCGAAGCGAGAGCTGGGACCATTGACTATTTCTAGTTCTTTTGTTGGATTTGTTACATTGCCTGATTATTGATTTTTCATATTCACTTCCTGATTTAGAAACAGCCTCCTGAGAAGAACCACCGGAAAGTCCATTTGGTTTCAAGATGCTACCCTTACAATCCTGGCTTGGAGGAAAATGACATTCATTTGGACATGTTGCAGATGAACCAGATTTGTTAACCGATTCTTCTCTCTCACATGTACTACCCATTACAATGTCTTCCTTTGCCATCTCGCATGATTTTGTTTGTTCAGAAACGCGTCTTTTCATCAATACTGACACTGCAAAAAAAGGTTCAGTAAATATATGCATTAACATCATATGAACAGAGACTCTCATCCAAAGAAGAAACAATGTTTTGTACCTAGAGTTTGCTGTATGCCATGAACCATGGGAACATATCTAGCAGATAAGGAAGGAGTACTGTGCAGAGAGACCTCAGGAATTTCATGCAACATCATGAAAACTGGAGCATGATCAGATCCTTCCAGTTTAATGCTATGCCCTCCCTTCCACCGATGGGCACTGAGCACAGATCATGAAGTCAGTTTAAACTTAATCTGAAGGAAGACATGCATCACATATGATTGCAAATATTGAACCATTTGACACAGTTGTGAAGAACCACTCCAAAAGTGGGGGAAAAAAGTATAGACGAGTCTATTAAACAATACGGAGGAAACTATCAGAAAAAAAAAAGCAGAAAATAACAATTTATGAAAGCAGGGAGATGATCTTTGCAAAATTCATAAATTTGTAATGTAAAATGAGAGAAGCAAAACATAGGGCATGTTACAGTATCACCAAGTATCTAACTTTTACTTGCAAAATACAATTAGCCGTTTAGGATGAAAGACAAAATAGCTTAGTGTTCCACATATTATGCTTGCATCTTACCTCAGTGTGCTTTCTGGTTTACACCGTTTGTACTGTGTCAGAATGTCACAGTCCTTGACATGGCATCTTATAAAACTATGGCATTTCAGATCATCTGATTCATGTAAGCATGAACCAGCAAACAGAATATGGTCAATTCTACTCCCGAAGTTAAATACTTCAGCACCAGTATTTTGCGACCAACAGGTGTAGGCTTCCCTTCTACATACATTCTCAAAATGTACAAACATGATTTAACAAGATTAATGCTGATCATATTGAAGGTGTGACCACAAAATATTGTAAACACTAAACACATTCTAAAATTAGAAAGGAAGAAACAGGCAGAGAGGAAAATATGGAGGAGGATGCAGATATCACTAGCCAGTAGCAACGTGCACAGAAAAAAGTGTCTGGCATAAGATTTGAAAGCAGTATTTTCATTTGAATCCATTTGTACAATCCAAATTTGAAAAATTGAAAAAGGTGACTTCAATTTGAAAGCAGTATAATCCCATATGAATATAAAAGATATCATACCTATAAAAGGAAGATGACAAGATAAAAAGATTTTTAAAAAGGATAGAATCCGCTCACCATTTTCTGACAAGGGAATGCTCATCAGGTATCAATATCATTATATTTTCAAGGGGACACTACACATCAATATTTTATATTTAACAAAACAGGTAACTCCATACCTATCAGGATGTTTTGCTCTGAAGACATCAGAAAATTGGCCTCCATTTTCAATTAACATTGATTTGAACCATATTCTAAATCTGCATATGAATTCAGGCAAAGAGTTAAGATACTTATCAGCATTAGTAATTAAAAAATATTTCATAGAATTCTGGCAGTAAGCTCACTCATTATTTTCAAAATCAGGTCCTGCATCACATCGATCAATTGCAAATGGTGCAATATTGAGATCACCAACAACAAATATTCTCCTTCCATGATGCAGGAAAGACTCCCATCTTTTCTATTAAAGAGACTATCAACATCAATCAAACAGAAACAAATGAAAACTGAAGATTTTCAGCTCTGAAAACAAAACAGAGGCACCAAAAATGAGCACTGAGCATAAACTATGATAGTCATGTCCCATTTTTAATAAAGTAGAGTTTCCCTTTTAAAACAGTTTAATGTTCATTAAATCATTAAAACTTTCGGGTAACACAAAAGAAATAGTAATAATACTAATTTTGAAAAAAGCTGTAGAGTTTCTTAAACTCTAAACATATTTTGATGGACAAACAATATTCGGGTCACATTTTCTTTGCAATAATATAATTGGATGAACCAATTCGAACTTTTCAAACATAGTAAACATTAACTTGTTCGGAGAATCTCAAACTCTTACTCCAAATTATCAACTTGTCTTATAATTACTATAGTTACCCAATAACACAAAATTGAAGCATAAAATACTGCCAAGACCCACATAAGACCATTTAAAGCATGGAAAAAATTCTGCAAAGCAATGACGTTTGAAATTGGTCAAATCATCCATTGATTCCATTAACATTCAACCATTTCAAATACCTGTAATATCCTGTAAAATTTTTGCTTGAACTGAATCCTTTCTGTATCATCACTTCCAGCTCGGGGCCCATACACATTGAAAAGAACTGAACAGATTCAAACACAAGTACACAACTACATCAAAACAACAGACTTCTTTTTCTTAAAAAAAAAAGAAAAGAAAAAGGAAGATGACTAATTCCTAAAGAATATATACATCATTTTTTCTCAGTACGCTCATGTATATCCCTTCACACATCTGAAAAAGGAACATGGTAAACAAGAGAGCCATTTTTCAATTTTTTTTTCTTCCTTTTATTAGATATATGTTGATAATATGTATACTCACCAAAGTGAGTGTGATCTGTGATAATGCATCGCCCCTCACTATCAAGACTTAGAAGCTCATCTTTTGAAAATTCCTCAAGATCTTCCATCAAGAATGGCAAATTGTCTTTGCTAGTTTGAGAGTCCCAAAAGACCAGTAAAGCCTTCCTCTGCCCCAAGGGGCAACGCCACCTCATCACTTGAAAACGCAGATTTTACACGACAAAATGTAATAACTCCTGCATACAGCATACTAAACACAATTTACTGTCTAAGAAGTAGTCCCTGTCTTATTCTATCTATCTGTTGCTTGGTATTGCACACATCTTAATAAATTGATTCATCATATAAATTTTCATGATATAATAATCTTATCACTAAAATAGCATTATTCTATAAATGATTAACATTGAACACCACTATAGAGCTGCAGCTATGCATCTACTAGTGCATTACAAAAGAAGGGTAATATTGAAAGAAAAAAAAAATACTTCATTGATATTTCAAAGTGATATGAATATGACTTAGAGCCTAATTGGATAAACTTATCCTTAATTACTTTAAAAATAAATAAAAAGAAAAACGAAATTAACTTTTCTATAGTCTGAAATTAGTTTATGCAAAGATTCTTTACAAATTAGTTTACAAAAAAAATTAATTTCATTTTGTTTCTTATTTCTTTCCTACTTCCGAAAAAGTTTATCCAAACAACCCTTAAAAATTAAAAAAAAATGTTTTAAGGTCATATGATAAACAACATTTGATACCCATAACAGAAACAACAATAGAATAAGAAGGAAGGGGTATTCATTTATGTATGACCAATTTTCTTGATGAAAGAAAGGGGTTACCGGAATAGCCGGTTCGGCCCTTCTGAGAGGTGCGGGTGCAGGAGAAGAAGGATTCGTATCCGTGGGCCATGACCAAATCCGCTGTGAGTTCCTGCCTCCGCAGTTTTGTCTCCTGCAGGAAGAAGTAGTGAAATGGGTGATGAATGAGAATTGAAATGATGAAAGAGAGACATTGGAAGCACCTGAAAGCAAATGATGTCGGCGTCGAATGAATTTAGCAGATTCCGGAGAGACCCGAACTGCGCGATGCGCTGTCTCAGGCCGTTCACGTTGTAACTCACTATCTTCATTCTATTCTATTCTATCACTCTTTCTCTCACATTCGCTTCTTCTGGCTTCCAATTTTGATACAACTTTCTGTTGCCCCTCCTTTCGTCTCCTTTAACTGGTTGTCATAGCTTGTGATTGTATTCCGTTGACACAATCGCAGAAGCAGATTTTTTTTTTAATTTTTTTTTAAATTACAAGAGTAGTTTAATTAAAAATATTTTGATTCCATGTACTCTCGTAAGTAAGTATCCATCGCAATCTAACCCGCCTCAAGTACTTGCTCGAACCCGTCGATGAAAAAAATTTGTATTTATTGGGATTGGGCTTTCCTTCGTTATAATTAAAAAATTTATATATATATATATAAACTAAAATTAGAAATATTTATATATAAAAATTTATATTATTTTACTTTTTTTTATTTTTTTTTAAATTATTCATATTTATTTTTAAAAAAAGAAGAAAAAAAATAGGAGTGGAGGCAGGGCCGCGGTGGGCAAACCCGAATCCCGCCAGGGATGGGGATGGGAACCCAGATTTTATTCCCGGCAAGTATCGGATACTTTGATCTTAATTTTGGTTTTTTGGTACTTGATTTTGCATTTATATAATCAATATTCTATGTTGAAATTGATTACAACAAAGGATTTTATCTTTTGAGCTCCTTTCTTAACCTTATATATCTTATTACATTTTTCTTGTAATTGGTTGAATCAATAAAACTTAGATTTTGTCTTAAGTATTTAGCAATTTAATTGATTATAATCAAAATGGTAATGAGTTGCATAAGAGAGATTATTCTAACCAAGAAACACAATATCACTATGTAATTGATTATCTTGAGATGTAATCAATTATATTAATAAATTTTGTTTATCCTAAAATTCAATTTTAATCATGTAATTGATTATTCAGTCATGAAATCAATTTCATAAGAGTTTTACTCTCTTCAAGAATTTTCAAATTGTTATGTAAATACATGATCACTTTGCTTTTAGTAAGTTTTTCTTTCTTTTAGAAACTCCTTAATTCATTTTATCATTTGAAAAAAAAAATTCTATTTATACTATTTAAGTCTTTTAATTTGTATAGAAAACATCTTGACAACTTATACTTACTTCACATGACTTCTAAAATAAAGAAGATTAACTCATTTACTTTTATCAGTTAGAATTTATGAAAAATATAAAATTATTTGAGAAACTCATTAAATAGATATGAGGCTCATCAAATTTTATGTTTTTTTTAATAAATTTTAACTAATTACAGAGTGTGTTTAAAAAATTATGTCAAGGTTGTGTTACTAACGTTTCTCATACTATAAAATGTATAATTTATTATATTTTTACTTGATGTTTGATACTTGAGAGAAGCAAAAACTTTGTAGTCCATACGTTTTTCTAAATACTTCATGTTTCTCTTCTTTTAAATACAACATATATATTTAACACCAATTCTCATCTTATTATTTTAAGAAAAATATTTTTTAATATAATTTTAATTATTGATTAAATATTTTTTCTCTTATATATATAGTTTGCCACTTAAAATAAAAATATTTTTGAATATTAAAAATGATTCATAATTTTTAATCCTAAAATTTAGTTTAATTAACTTTCAGTTTTATAAAATATCTTTAAAATAGATATATTGCAACATCTATAATAAAAACACTAAAATGAAACTTAAATGAACATTTTTTTTATAACTTCACTTAAATCAAATCACAAAACAAATCAAACTATAATTAAATTGATCTAACAATCCAACATCATCAACATAAGTTGTATTATGTGTCATTATGGTATACCTACATTGTACATTTCAAAAAAAAAAAATTACTTATAACTAACAATTGAGTTTAATTTGGGTCATCTTCACATTCTTAAGCCATAAATCAAACAGAACGACGTGATTTAAGAATTTTTTTTTGGAACAAAACCGCTAGTTTTCTATTTTTTAATCAACTATTTAGTTTTCCATTTGCATTAGATCAATTTTTAACATCCCTATTTCAAAATGACAAAAAGTAATATATTTCTTATTATGCTTGATTCAGTTACAAACACAATGCGACATATAAGTTTCATTCTTGCCATAACGTAAGATTTAAATATTTGAGGGTAGAAATTGAGAATACAAATCAATCTTTGGAAGCACACTTGCACGAAAAAATATTATGTGAATTGCAATAGTATATGCATTAGGAGAAGGGTTTCATCATGCTACTACTATATATAACTATTGCATTACTCTAGCAAAGGAGAAGAAAAATAAATTTATTTCTCAATTCTTGCTTTTATTTTAGAAGGTTCAAATTATCCTTTTTGGTGTAAAATGATAACAAGAAGTTTAAAATTTAGGATTTTGCATGTATTATCTAAATTTTACATCACTTGGTTAAATAACAAAAAGATTGTAAATAAAAAAGAAAAGAATATTTCTTATGCACCTTTAGTTTTAGATGGAAAAAAAAATATATGGGCGGTGATATTTCTTATGCACCTTTTGTTTCTAAATGATCGGTAAGGACAGATTGATTTGCTAGCCCACTTTAATATTATTTTCTTTTATTTATTTTGAATTTATGATGTGTATCACTTTATGTTGTGGTATAATCTTATTATTGAAAGATTATTAGTACTTGTGTTGTAATTCTTAAGGACTATTATAATTTTATTTTGTTAAGAGACTATTAGTAGTAATTTGGACACCTATTAAGTAAAATTAGTTAAATATTCATATATTTATATTACATTTTTTAATATTTCAACAAAATTAGCATTAAATGCAAGTTCAAAAATTAATGTCAATTTTTATCTTTAATATTTCAATAAAATTAACAAATACAAACAAATTTATTTGTAATATTTAAAAAAAAACACAAATATCCATGAATATTAGTGAATATTTATAAAATTCGTGAGTACCACAAATATTGGATAGGTACGAGGTAGATTTTTATCTTTTGTTTTTTTGCTAAATAATAGCCAAAGAAACAAAAAGAAAGAAAAAGATAGCTTACAACCTCCTTTGAGGCACCTGCATAATATCAACATCTAAAAGCATCGAAAGTTCCAGGTGCTTCAAGAATGACTAGGTCTTCATCTACTACTACCCCTCGCGTAGCCAAAAAATCTGCATAATTATTACCCTCCTAGAGCGTATGCTTAAACTCCAACCTCCAATCCTCCCTAGCAAAGTCCCGTATTTGGACAACAATGGTAGCATACATATGCCACATCGGAGGTGGATGTTGGATAAGATTTAACGCATGCAAGGAATCTGAAATGCAAATACATTCAATGCATATCCCATGTAATCTACAACCCCTGTAATATACCAAGTAACTCTGCCTGCAAGATATTGGTCTTACCAATATAACCAAAATACCCTTGAAGCCACTTCCCGTTTGAATCATGAAGCAAACCCTCGAAATTGGCTCTTCTCGGATTACCTTGACAACTCCCATTTGTATGTAAAGAAATTTGGTTGCTTGTAGCCAGGATACAAGTAACCCAACGTTCCAGTTGAGGTGCAATGTAGTCACTCCCACCAAACGCACTAGTTGAAGCAGTCAAAAGTGCTTGAGCTTTAGTTAAAATTGTTTGAGGGTATAAAACTTGTTGCTGAAAAAGAATGTGGTTCCTCGCTTTCCACATATCCCATAAGAGAATAGGCACTATCAAACCCTCCTGGGATAGGGCAGCATGCAACCAGGATAGTCAAGTGCGTGTAATCGCCAAACCAGTTAGAAGCCAAACTCTAGAAACCACATCACATTCCCAAAAGATATGATGGACATCCTTCAGATACTAATGGCAGCAAGGACAAATGCTAACTTCAATGACATGGCGAGAATGTAGAAAATAGCGCATAGGCAAAGCATCATGATAGAACTGCCATAAAAAAATACTATATGTACGGGGAGCTTGAGTTTCCAGAGCCATCCCCAACTCTTATCTCTCCTTGGGGTCAATCTTGCCAATAACCACACATACCCCGTACAAGCTGAATAAACTCCCGATTCATCCCCTTGCCACGCAAGCACGTCAGGGATGTCATGGTGTAAGTAGAGCCGCAAGTGAAAGAGTAATTCACGAAGATCATCAATTAAGGGTGACACAATACGTTCTAGATCACAACACCCATCCGAGAGCGCCACATGGCATACCTCCAAGTCCACATCATTAAGGTCGATATATGTCATGCGAGAGGCAAGAGGTGATCCATCAATCCATGGATTAAACCAAAAACTACACTCATCATGCCCCAACCTAAGACTAAATCCCTTTTCGAGCGCTTCATACGCTTTTCATAACGATGAAAGGAAGAAAGACCCAAAGTGATCTAGCATGGCAGATATATCTGCACCAGGGTATTTCCACTTAAAAAATTGTACCCAAAGCTTATCAGGCTTGAACATGAGGTCCCAGACTTGTTTACCAATAAGTGCCACATTTTGAAGCTTAGCAGGTCGGACCCCAAGCCCACCATCCTTCCTTCTCTAGGTGATGGTTTCCCACTTAACTAGATGCAGACCACTTTTGTCTTGAGCATTCCATAGGAAGCGTCTAGCTAGCATGTCTAATTTCTCACAAACTTGGTTGGGTAGCCATTAAATATATATTGTATGTAGGAATGGACGTAAGAACAGAATTAACCAAGGTTAAATGCCCAGCTCGATTAAGAAGTCTCCCTCTCCAAGAAGAAAGACGTTGTTGCACCTTCTCCACATCTTCCTGAAACTGTTGTGAATTAACTCGACCATGTATCATCCAATACCCCAAATACTTGCCAAGTGAAGAAGAAAATTGTATGTAAGATATGTGAGCTAACCTCCGACAATAGACAGGTGATACCCTAAAAGAAGCAAACGCCATAGACTTTGGCAAGCTGAAACGCATCCTGGAAGTGCCACGAAATAAGTCAAGAAGTCTCATAATAGTGCGAATAAAAGAAGTCGTAGCTTTTGCAAACAACAAAACGTCATTAGCAAAGGAGAGATGCAACATAACAAGATGACTGCGCAACCTATAAGGGGACCATGAGCCTTCCTCCACAGCTTCTATGATCAATAGACCCAATCTCTCTATACAAAAGACGAATAAATATGGCGAGAGCGGATCACCCTGCTGAAGACCTCTCCTAGGAATGATGTTTCTTGCTTTTTGACCATTCTAGAGAAGACATAGAGAAGCAAAAGAGACCCCATGCATGATAAGAGAG